TTATAGTAGTATTATTTTTGAAAATAATGAAATTAATATATGTAAAAGATTTTTATCTTTTAGATGTGATGATTTGCCACATTTTTAGAGGAAATTTAATGTTCTTAATAAAGAGAATTGCTATTTTTTCAATTAACATACATGCTGAATGGTATAACTAGGAAACTAGCCAAAAGTCAGTTTTTTATATTATAAAATTTTTATCGCCTAGGTGACTAGGCACCCCAATGTTGCCCAGAATCACCTGGACACCTTGAAAACTATGTTTCTATCTCATTAGATCGTTATAGATTGTTCTTAGTTTGTCAGGAAGTTGAGTAATAAAGGTGAAGGTTAAAGTGGCTAATCCTCTGGGGATATTTAGGATTTGTTTTCAGAAAAGCATTGATTTACTGGGGAACAATTCTAATCTGAATAAAATTAGGATAAATTTGGATTTTTGGAATATTGATCCAGCAATTTTTAAATTCCACACCCTATAAGGAAGATGCATCCCATAGAGGGTATTGCTAGAATTAGTTGGTATAGTTTTAAATTTACTGATCAATAGCTGTGTATTATTCTTGTGGGTGGTTATTCTTTTTAAATAGAATTACAGTGAATATAACTTTTTTCATGCATGTAGGTGCCTGAGGGGCTTGAAATGTGTGTTCGTCTAATGCTGCCTGGAGAGATGGCTCTTGTAACATGCCCTCCGGATTATGCATATGACAAGTTTCCAAGGTCTTCTCAGCAAGCTTTTAGTAGATGTGCATGAACTAGTAAAAGTGATAGAATTACTAATGATGTTTGTTCTCCCTTAGACAGGCCCAATAATGTTCCTGAAGGTGCTCATATTCAATGGGAAATCGAGCTTCTTGATTTTGAGAAGCCAAAGGTAATTGTAAATAACTATATGTTCAATAATCTTTCAAGTGTAAATTGGAGAATTGCATGTTGGAAACCCTGAAATGTTGAGAACAGAAGAATACATCAAAATATATGTTTGTGCTACAATATGCTAAAATCTGTTAAGTGAAATGCTGTTGGATGTTATAAATACTTTCACTGGAACATCAAAGTCACAAGAAGCATTAGTGCCTAGGGAATTTGTTAGCCAGTGCTGTCCAAGGGTCCTCTTACCAAACCTGTATCTCCATTAAAGGCAAATTCATAATTCTGTAAACTTGAATTTCTGGTTACCCCTAGTTGGGATAATCATCACAACAACATTATGGGGTTTATCTTGGCTCTTGGGAAAGATCTTTGATAAGTAGCTATGAGGATACTTGTGCATACCTATCGTACTGGTGTCAAAGACGTGTACCAGATACTGCATGGACACTTCTAATGGATATACATATTGCTATAAAAAAATATATATTTATAAAAAATATATTTATATTGGGAGTTTAACTAAATCTGGTAAGATATACTAAATCTGGTAAGATATACATGGACACTTCAAGTGGAATTTTCAAAATTCATCAAATTCAAGCCCAGAAAAGGAGAAAGAGTGCTGTTTTGGAAGGACATGTGGTGTGGTTCCACCCCTTTGTGTCAATCTCACCCCAATATGTTTAACTTGGCAGAGCAGGAAAATGTTGTAGTAAAAAATTGCTTCCAACTGATTTCTGGTCAGGTGGTGTGGACACCAAAACTGAGGAATGTGTTTGATTAGGAGGTGCAAGAATTGCTGTCTTAAATGGAGGTAACAAACAAGTCTCATCTTTCTGTGGTTTAAGAAGATAAGGTTGTTGGGGTGCAGAAAAATAAGGCCTCTTGGTATTCTCTTTCTACAAGCAGCTATTGGAGACTGCTGGAAATATGGTGGCGTGGAGGTGGATATGGAAATCCAAAGCCCCATTATTGGTAATTGTTGAAGATTAATTAGTTTTATGATGTTTTTCTGAGTAGATGTTTTATGTTAGTTGTTAAATAGGAGGTGGGGACCACAGTAGTTATGTGAGTCCAAATTTTATTATGTTTTTGTGTGTTATATATGCTGTTTTATGTTTTGTCGCCCTATCAGATTCAAAAATGCCTTGATTGCTTTTGGATACACTCAGACTCAATTCGATCATACCTTGTTTGTGAAGCGAAGGGGATCTTTGGTGTCAGTCCTAATTGTTTATGTGGATGATATTGTTGTCACGGGGAATGACCTAAGCGAGATTGATTATCTAAAAAGGAATCTACATAAAGAATTTGAAATTAAGGATCTTGGAGAACTGAGATACTTCCTAGGCATTGAAGTTGCAAGATCAAAACATGAAATTTTTATCTCTCAAAGGAAGTATGTCTTAGATCTTTCAAGAGACAGGGAAGCTTGGAACGAAGGCAATCAGTACCCCTATTGATCAGAACCATAGAATCAATGCATCAGAAGGTGAGCCAGTAAAGGACATTGGGAGATATCAGAGACTTGTGGGTCGGCTGCTATACTTGTGTATGACAAGACCAGACATTTCCTATGCAGTAAGTGTGGTAAGTCAATACATGCATGCTCCACGAGTCCAGCATTGGGAGGCAGTTGACAGGATTCTTGCTTATCTGAAGGGACAGCTGAGCAGAGGCATATTGTTTACTGATCATGGAYAGTTGAAACTAGAGGCTTATACAGATGCAGATTGGGCAGGATGCCTTGATGACAGGAGATCAACTTCAGGAGTGTGCACCCTTGTTGGGGGTAACCTTGTGTCATGGAAGAGTAAGAAACAAACAGTGGTAGTAACCTTGTCTCTGGATCCGTTCCCTATTAGAAGAAATTGGTGTGCAGGCAGAAGAACCTATGATGCTATACTGCGATAACCAGGCAGCAATTAACATTGCCCATAACCCAGTCCAACATGACCGAACTAAGCACATTGAAGTGGATAGACATTTTATCAGAGAAAGGGTAACTTCTAACCCAGTCCAGCATGACCGAACTAAGCACATTGAAGTGGATAGACATTTTATCAGAGAAAGAGTGACTTCTGGAGAAGTTTGTCTTCCAGACATTGCTTCTGATCTGCAACTCGTTGATGTTCTCACAAAAGGTGTTGCAAAGAACAAGCTAGAGCATGATCTACGCAAGTTGGGAATGTGTGACATTTACTCCCAACTTGAGGGGGAGTGTTGAGTTGGGCCTAGTTATTTTTATTCTTATTTTAAGTTATTTAGTTAGGAAGTTGTTGGGCTTTAGGCCCATTAGTTTATGTTTTTAAGTTGTGACTGTTCAGCTACATTAGTAGCTACCCTACTAAGGGCATCCTTGTAATATCTCATCTTTTAAGTTAAGTATAAATATAATGAGGGGTTGGTGGCTAGGGTTTATCTAAGGATCCTGGTTGACTTCCTACTCTTTTCTCCTCCTCTTTTCTTCTCTACTACTGAAATCTTTATCTTCCTCCTCTTTCCCTTCACAAGAAATTCAACTAAATTTACAATCAGTGATTTCTACTAAGCAAACTGGATTCACTTGGAGATTGTACCAAGTAAAACAGCTATGTGACAATAGGATCTCTTTAAGTTTGTAGGCATCCACAAATTGATTAAATTTCCTCATATTCGTGGTCGACCTCTACCTAGGACTATTTGTTTCTTCCAAGAATCTGATTACATTGAAATCACCTCCTAAACACCAAGGTCCTTCTCACAATCCCCTTGTATCAGCAGCCAGTTCTTCCCATAACTTCCTTCTCTCTCTATAATCATTTGGTCCATAGACATTGGTTAACACCCATTCAAATCCATCCTCCAGTTGTCTAAACTTCAAGGAGACTGAAAATTGGCCTTTCAACTCTTTCCTACCTACAAGTACTTCATTCTTCCACATTGTCACAACACCCCCTGCAGATCCCCAGGAAGGTAGAGCCGCCCAACTAATCCCCCTACCTCTCCATACAAAATTTTAAATTTCAATTTTATGTACATTTTAAGCATATTGAATCAAATTAGTTAGACCATTATATGGAGCAATATATTTATACAAAGCTTGTCTCTCATAATGTAGTTGTCTAAGAAGTGGTATTTGTAGGTGTAGATAACCTTGAAGAGTATTGGAAGAAAGAATAGGTGGACTTCAGTTTAATGATATAAAAAATTAAGGGATACTTTCTTCTTATTACATGAGTGTCTATTTGTAATAAATAACTGGAATCCATATTTGCAGGACTGGACTGGGTTAAGCTTCCAAAGAATAATGGATGAAGCAGAAAAGATAAAAAACACGGTATGATATCAAATTCATATTGTTTACTTCACTTCAACTTTTTGGTTAATTAGAAGCTGTTGGTTAGCAGAATGGTCTATTGCTTGCAGGGTAACAGGCTTTTCAAGGAAGGAAAATTTGAACTTGCCAAGGCGAAGTATGAGAAGGCATGTATTTTGTGTCTTACATGGCATTGTCCACTTTGTTTTTTTGTTGGTTTGTTTGATTCATCGAGCATGGTTTATTACCTATATATATTGAAAAAGAAAAGAATATTCAAAGCCAACTCCTTATGGATTTTTACTGATTGGGATGGAAATGGAAAAGCAGGGCAGATAAGAATATCCAAATCCACTGCTTTTTAGTGAAGCCTTTTTTATGATGCTTTGCAAAGGAATCAATAGTGATGAAAATTAAAGGTGTTTGGGGCAACCCTGTCCTGCTTATGGTGGAAGCCTTTGCATGGCTCGTGCCTTTGGAAAGCATTCTTACACAAGATCACACCAAGAGCAGAGGCTTTCATTTCGCAAGAAGATGCTATTTTTGTTTTGGTTGTTGCTATGCAAAGATCATTTGGTGTTTCTTTTTCTCAGTCTTCAAAATGGATCTGTAGAACCCAAGATCTTCAAGTGAAATTTTTGCTTGATGGCCAGCCTTGAACGGAAAGAAGAAAGCAAAGATCATCTGGAGCTGTGTGCTTTTGCAGTCTGTAGGGAACTCTGGAATGAAAGAAATAGAAGAATTTTTTAAGACAAGCAAAAATCTATTGACCATCTTGCTTCTAGGATCTGCAATAGGATTATGGAATGGGTCCTGATTCTTCCAGAGTTCAAGGGGGATAGTAAAGAGACCTTTGGGTCTGGTTTAAGAAAAGCTCTGCTGAAAAGCGAGCCCTGTGGACTATGGAAAATAGTATTTTTTTTTTCTTTTGCAAATTTTTCCATTGATTTGATGGATCTTAAAATGATTTTTCTTTTTTTTCTTTTTTTCGGTCGGGGGAGGGGGAAGCTAGTTATTCTGGAATGCACTGAACTGTGGATTCCATCCTGTGTTTCAACTGCTCCCCAATCCAAACACAGCTTAATAGAACCCTCATGTTTTCCTGGTCTTAGGCACACAACACTATTATAGAATTTAGGTGACTTCATGTGGATTCCATCGAGCATGTATTTTGATTAGTGTCTGTTCACATGATTATTTTGATTTCCTTGTCATTTCTCTTATGGTGAATTTGGGATGGGCTTCTAATGTTAGCAATTCTAATATATGACTTGGGTATGGGATTTACAATGAAAACTTTGCTATTTTCAGTAGACTTAATATTTGTATACCAAACTGAGTAACTGTTGTAGGATAGGCTGTTCTTATACTAACTGGTGTAGGACTATCTACTTTGCGTCTCTGACACCACTAGTCTAGAACCAATAGCTCTAGATCAGTTTTAGTCCTTTGGTTTTTTTTTTTTTTTTTTTGATAGTAGTCCTTTTTGAAGTTGAATTAACACCTTTAATAAAGAACTTAAAGCTGTTGATGGCTGTAATGGCATAGAACCAAACTTTGCTAAATAATAGGTGTTCTCAACTTCTAGCACACTTAAATAATCGGTCAGTTTGTCCATTGAGAATTTTCCAATTATTTCATCAACTCTAACCTTGGGATTTCAAACTCCAAGTAGGACATTAGGAACTTTTCTTTCAATCTCTGACATAGGAATCATCATCTGAATGTGTTGAACTAGATATGACTCACTAACAAACTTTAGGACCAATTTCATCATTGATGCTGGTGAAATTTCTATCATAGGCTCAACTTGCAACCCTTGAATTGAGTTTCTAGTATAGGCTCAATAACAAATTTCTATCCCTTCAACTTTAGTCTAGTCCATGCTACATAACTTGGACTTCTAATTCCTTTTCTTACACATTAAAATTAGTTATGGTTGGCTGATCTTAAACCCCATATAAAGTAATTCTCAATTCCCTAGCCCATTGGTTAAACTTTCTCATGATGCGTTTATTCTTTCAAGATCAATACTGTTATCTTTGAACCTAGGTGCCTAGATTTGCTAATTTTCCTGCTGATGGTTGAACCAAGTTTGAAAGCCTCAAGTTAGGTTGTGTCCTGTAATAGTATTGGGAGAGGCATATGCACTGGGTGTCCAATAGGTGATTGTCTTTTATGTCTTCATCTTCTTTTCTTTGTTTTCATATTTAAAGAACTTGCTTGTTATTGATAAAGGAAAAGTAATTGCTTACAGGTGCTTCGGGAATTCAATCATGTTAACCCACAAGATGATGATGAAGGAAAAATATTTTTGAATTCAAGAGTAAGTGTGCCTTCAAACCAGAAACAGTGTCTTCCCTGATTTTAGTAGTCATCAGATGAAATGTTATTTGTTCTTGCTCTCTTGGTTTAGAAGACTAATAGAAGGGTTTTTCACCATGAGTTTTTAAGATTTATTTTATTCTGTTGTCTATTCTTGCAGAACTCATTGCACCTAAATGTTGCTGCCTGTTACCTGAAGATGGGAGAATGCAGAAAATCCATTGAGGCATGTGACAAGGTATTCTTCCTGAACTAAGACTGAAGCTTATCCATGAAATTGTAGAGACTGATTTGCAGTCTCGTGTTTTCTTCTTTCCTTTTTGGGGCTTAGGAGCACCTTATATGTTTTATCTTATGCACTATATTTTTCAATAGTCTTTTTATCCTTTCATGTAAGAGAGGGACATAATGGTCCTTTTCCTCATTTTTGTATTGTAAACATTTATAAGACTTTTCTTTTAGGTGTGAGATCAAGCTGACACACCCTGTTCAGTCTTTTGGCTCTCTTAACCAAGTAGAAATCTACAGAAACAAAAAACCTGTAGAAAAGATGAAGAAAGGAAGGTTCTTGAGAGAAGAAGAAGAAGAATAGAGAAAAGAATGAGAGAGCAATCAATTCTGGCTGCCCCCTCTCATTATTATTTATACCAAGTAAAAATAGGTACAATGACAAGTATGCCCTTATATGGTGGCTGAATACAAAAACTCAGTGAAGAACTTAAAAAGGCACTCTAAAAGACTCCAAAGGGTCCCAGCAAGTGTGTTGTGGTCCCCACTACCTATCTAAACAAATAATCAATAAAATTAACTCATAAGTCTACACAAAATCCTCAACAATTCAAATTGTGTTCACATTTGTATCAGAGCAAGTCCCTCAAGCCTGTCTTTGATTGCAATCTGTTGTTTTGGATCTGGTTAGGAGTTATCTGGAGGCTGTTCTAATCAGCACAAGTTCTCCTATGTCTTTCTGGAAAAACACATTCAGCATTAGGTTTTCTCTTTTTTCTCTTGATCGTCTGCACCATTCAGCTCGAAGGTCAGTTTTAAGTATTCTTGCATCCTTTTTCTGGATCAGATTGGGATTGATGGGGTGGCTGCCTTTTTTAGACTATCACCTGTTAACACATTTTGTCTGGCTATTCTGTTGACTGATATTGATCTCTTTAGTTCTCTTTGATTAACCATATCACGGTTATCAAGCTTTGATCAGTGTTGGTGGGGTGGCTGCCTTGTTCTCTCATTTTCTTTGGCTTTTCTTGAAACTATCTTGCTGAAATGGCTTTGGTAAAAAGAGATATTCTGCCAATGAAGTTTGATGGGACTCGTTATGCCTTTTGGAAGTTCCATTTCTAGTTCTTTATTCAGGGAAATTGTCTTTGGGGGTGTGTTGATGGAAATGTTTTAAAACGTGGAGGCGTGACATGAGGCATTTCACTACCTAGAGGTGTGAGGTGTAGTTCAAAATGTAAGAGGCGTAAACCTCCCGAACACAAGGAGGTGTAAGCCTCCTTAAGAGGAGGGGGATAAAGAGGAAGGAGGAGGAGGAAGGGGAAGAAGGGGAAGAGGAAGAAGAGGAAGGAGGATCTCATTTTTCTTTATTTTTAATAAAAATCTATTATATTAAAAAGAATGAAGATGAATAACACTAGTTGAAAGTGTATGAGGCGAATGCCTTAGAGGTGTCAGCACCTCTGGCCTGCGCCTCAGGGTGTTTTGGGGGTGCCTTGCCTGTAGGCGTATGCCTCCCACGCCTGTTAAAACACTGGTTGATGGTACAGCGAAGCAATCTGATGAATTTGACTCTAAGGGGCTAAAGCAATGGAAGATTGACAATGCCAAATTTGTTTCTTGGCTTCTTGGTTCAATTGTAACTGACATAGCCATTCTTATGAGAAGCTTTCAGACCGCTAATGAGATGTTTATTACCTATATGGAAAAGGTGTATCAATAGTTCAATTTGTCTCGTCAATACCAGATTGAGATGAAAATATTTTCCTATAGTCAGGGTGAAAAGGAAATACAAGAATATTTGCTGGTTTTGTTAACTTGTGGACAAAGTATGAGCTGGTCCATAGATGAATCAACTTCTGCTTGTTGCATTAAAGCCATGAAAAACACTTTGTCATGAGAAGGGTAATGCATTTCTTAATACATCTGAGACCAGAGTATGAAGTTATAAGGTCAAATATCCTTAGTAGGGGTACTTCACCCACTCTTGACTTAGTCTTGGGAGAACTTCTTAGAGAGGAAACATGATTGATTACTCAGTTACTCAGTCCACTATTGGTGTGAAATCAGATTCTAGAATAGAGGCAGCCTTTCTAACGAACAAGTCCAAGCTAAAGAAGGACTTGTCCTGAGTATAGTGCTATGGGTGTAAGGAGTATGGGCATGTTGTCTCATACTGTCGAAAGAATAACTTTTGTACTTGTTGCAAGTAACAAGGACATATAAAATAATTGAATGTCCTACTCGGCCAACTAAGGGGAATGGTCTAGGCCTCAAGAAGAATCAACATAAGGCTTACCAGACAACCATAGAAGGATTAGATAAGGGGACCACCACTTCTTTTGTAGGAAGGGATGAAGAGTTTTGGGTTTTTTTTTTTTTGATCAATAACAGCACTTTTATTGAAATAGATGTGTAAGTTACAACCAGATTGGAGGGGTAAAATGTCTTAACCCTCCCTTTCAAACCTGAGAACACATATTACAAGACAGCCCAAAAGAAATTAGTTCTTCCCACCCCCTGTTTAGCCAAGGTGTCAGCCATGGAGTTGGTACTCCTCTTAGCCCATTGAACCCTTATAATCATGTTCTGAGTTAGCTGCTTGATTTTCTTCCTTTCATTTGAGAACTTCCACAGGCTGGACTCTTCATTCTGCAACCAACTAACAATCAGTTTAGAATCTCCTTCCACCAGCTGCTTACTAATATTCAACTGCTTAGCTCTTTTAACTCCTAGAACTGCCAGGATTTCATCTCTCAGTGAGTCCCCCCAGCCTATAGGTCCTGAGAACATAGCCATAATTCGACCTTCTTCGTTCCTGAAAATACCACCTATGCCTGAAAGGCCTGGATTTCCTTCACTACTACCATCGAAGTTCAGTTTAATGAAACCCAAGTCTGATGGACTCCAAACAGGTCTAATATCACTAGACATAGGAGCTGACCGAGCCACTTCTTCCCAGCTTCTAAGAGTTTTGGGTTTTTTATAGAAGAGAGAATGTGTCAGCTAGTATCTTTAGCAATTTCCTCTACGTTTTAACCATCGGTCTCTCTGGTGAGTCATCCTATTTTTGTTCCTCTCCCAATCACTTGTGGATCATTGATTTCAGTTCCTCTAACCATATGATAGGGGTATATGCTGGTTAGTGTTTTAAACCTTAGTCCTTGAATATACACTTTATTACTGCTAATGGTGAAAAATTAGACATTGTTGGCTGTAATGATTTATCCTTGTCTAGTTTTACTAATTACCACGTTCACCTTCCTAAAACCTTATTTATTCCATCTTACAACAAACTTCAATTTTGTTGTTGGGACATAGGCTGAGTTGGCTATTTGCCTTGGAATTTGAAAAGACACTAGTGCCTTCATCCATACCTTGTTGCTTACTACTACTCCTAGTTCTGAAGTTGTCTATAGGAATAATATGTGATATTTGTGGAATATTCATCAAATTGGATATTTGTTCTAAAGTTATTTCTTCTACTAATGTTAATAAAGCTTGCATTTCTTGTCGCATGAGTAAAATTCATGTTCTACCTTTTCCTTCTTTTGTTGAGCATGTATCTATTCCTTTTAAATTGGTACATAGTGATGTTTGGTTGTCGCTTGTAATTTCAATGTTGATATAAATACTTCGTTATATTTACTGATGATTATACACAATACACCTGAATATATTTCTTGAGAGATAAGTTAATGTTTTTCCCACCATTAAATCTTTCTTGGCTAAGATAAAAAATTAGTTCAATACTAGTATTGGACAATACTAGTATTGGAGTTCTTCAAAACAAAACAGAGTGGCAAAGTGCAAGAACATATACATTTTGAGTATTGTAAGGACCCTGCTTCATGATTCACATGCTCCTACTTCCTTTGGGTTGGAGGCGGCCAACATTGTTGTGCACCTTATCAATTTGCTTCCTTCTTCTGCCTTGAACAATGTCTCTCCCTTCCAGTGCTTATTTCATCACTCATCAAACTTTCTTTGCTTCATGTTTGGTTGTGTGTGCTTCATTCATCTTCCTCCCCATGAGCGAACAAAACTTATTCCCCAATCAGCCACATGTGTTTTTGTTGGATATAGACATATAGTCATGACCATAAGAGTTTTCTCTATTGTGACTATCAATCCTGTTGGATTCATGTGTTTCGTAATGTTATTTTTCTTGAGAACATCTCATTCTATGTGCATATTGTTAAGCTTGCTATTATTTCCATTTTGGTGCTACATTCTTTTGACTCTTCAAGTTCTTTGGATACCACTCCCTCTATTCCAAAATTGTTGTGTGTCTTCTTCAGGAATAGGCTATCTACTCTGTTAGAGTGCTCGAGTCAGGGGTATTTTGGTCATTCTGGTGTATCTTCTTGAATGTGAAAGGTCTATTGTATCTGAGTTTAAGTTATGTGTCCCATCTTCTATGAGGGAYAAAATTGTCTTTCTTGTAACTCTAAGTTTTATGAATAAAATTCAAGTGGGTCGTATCCTCGCTTCTTTCTTGCTGCTGTTCTCTTTCTGGGTTCGCCGCCAACCTTCACAGTCATCTTCTTCTTTTCCGATTGACCTGAGTGGAGGTTCGATAAGGGGCTGAAAAGGAGCTATCGTTTTGTGGGCCTAGAGGTGAGAATGCCTCCGGTCGTTGCTGTGGTGGTCATTGGAGTGGTATATTAAACCCTCTATTTAGTATCGAAGAGGGCTGAATGTGGACAGGTATGAACACTACTGTTGCTGGTCCAAGTAAGGGACTGTGAATGTTTTCTTTTTGCTTCAAAAGATTGGTTGTGGTGATGCTCGGTGTGACTGATATGCATTTCAGTCGTGTTCCTCTGCATCTCTTCATATGCATGCTGAAAGAAGAGTTGTCGACTGCTGAAGTTCACAACAGCAGTAGATTGGTGGTGGTTGTGTCGTGGTGATTGGTGTATCTATGTTTCTAAATATTTAAAAGTTGATCTCCTGGACCTTGTGTGTAATCAGTTCTGCAGTGTGCAGCCTAAGTGTTTGATGTGA